CTGCAACTCTCCCAGGCACCCCTCCCATCCTCCAGGCTGATCCTCCCGCTATCCATACACTGTCACCTCCCCCCGATGTCCCTGCCCCTTCAACCTCTTTGTCCCCTCCCCTCCTGGCTGATTTGCCGTCCCTAATCTCTGCCCTCACCGCTCTGACCCAGACCTCCAACCCCTCCAGCCCCCTGTTCCCACCCCTCCAACCCCTTCTCCAGTGTCACCTCCTCCCGATGTCCCTGCCCCTTCTACCTCGTTGTCCCCTCCCCTCCCGGCTGATTTGCCGTCCCTAATCTCTGCCCTTTACCGCTCTGACCCAGACTCCCGTTCCCACCCCTCCAACTCCTTCTCCAGTGTCACCTCCTCCCGATGTCCCTGCCCCTTCTACCTCATTGTCCCCTCCCCTCCCGGCTGATTTGCCATCCCTAATCTCTGCCCTCACTGCTGTGACCCAGCCCCTTGTCCCCACCTCTCCAACCTCTCTCCCAGTGCCATCACGTCCCGATGTACCCGCCCCTATGTCTCCTCCCCTCCCGGCTGATTTGCCATCCCTACTCTCTGCCCTCACTGCTGTGACCCAGCCCTCTGTTCCCACCCCTCCGACCCCTCCCCCAGTGACTCCCGAACCAACCATCGCCGATGACCTGTCCACCTCCATATCCGCCCTCTTCTCCGCTGTTACCTCCTCAATTCTGCTATTCCTACTCCACAACCCGCAGATTTACCTCCTCCTCCTCTTCCTCCTGATCCCCCAACCCCTTCCCCGCCTCCCGTTACCCGCCCCGAATCTTCCGATCCAATCTCTGCCCTTGCTCACGTCCTTAATACTCACCTATCACGCCCATCCCAGCCGGCCCCCTGCTTTAGAGGCCCGTGCATACCCTCCGGCTCCTGCTGATGGGTTTGACACGGATGATTTCCAAGATATTCAGCCCCTACCTCGACAAAGCCGCCCTGCCCGTGCTCCTATGCAGTCCAGCCACCCTCCCACTTCTACCCACTGGTACCAAGGACCCGACCAGGCCCATTTAGATTTACTGCAATAGGTAACCGGCAAGCCTGTGTCAGCAACCCCTGCCATGGCAGTGTCTGCGGGGGAGGGAGGAGGGCCCTTAGCTACTGTAGTTCTCCCCGTAGAGGGTCATCCAACTACCTTTCTAGTTGACACAGGTGCAGCCCGTAGTGTTCTTAGGGAACAAGACCTGCCTGACCCCTCCTTCTTGTCTGACACCGATGTCTCCTGTGTTGGGGTGGATGGTACCCCCTGCTGCAGCCCCCTTACTAAACCTCTGCATGTAGGTTCACACAATCTCTCCCGTTTTGTTTTTTTCTTCCACTTGTCCCATTAATCTCTTGGGTGCTGATGTTCTCTCTCGGCTCCAGGCTTCTATTACCTTTACTGCTGATGGTCAGGTCCAGTTAACAACACCCTTATCACAGAAAGACACCTCTGTCCTCTGCTCTCTCCCCATATTGTTAAACCTCACCACTTCCACAGGGAATTCACAGGTCCAACAAACCCCCAGTGCTCTGGACCGTATCCCACAAAAGCTTTGGTCCACCGGCCCAGATGACATCGGACGTCTACAAGTGCCCCCCCGTTGTGGTCAAGCTCCTGCCAGGAGCATTACCCCCCCGTAGGCCACAGTATCCTCTGAAACCTGCACAAACTGATGCTATCACCAAACAAGTCGAAAGCCTACTCGCCAAAGGTGCCCTCATTAAGTATGTGTCTCCATGTAACACTCCCTCTTCCCCTTTTTCCCTGTCAAGAAGAGAACTGCTGAAGGACAACCTGACCACAATACACCTGGACTGTCATACCTCAGGGGGCCCAGAATTCCCCCACTCAGTTTGCCCGTGCCATGTCTTTGGTACTAGAACCCTGGCAGAAAACTCACTCTGATGTTGTTCTTCTTCAGTATGTCGATGATCTCCTTCTCTGTGCTCCAGACCTTCACATTGCAAAGCGTGACTCAGAGGACCTCCTATGTTTCCTCGCTGAAGCTGGTTGCAAAGTTTCCAAATCTAAGCTGCAATGGTGCCGGCCCTCTGTGGTCTTCTTGGGACATTGTCTTTCCCATGGCACCAGACATCTAACTTCACAATGTGTACAGGCTATCTTGCAACTCCCACTGCCCGCAGCACACCAGACTCTTCATGCTTTTTTGGGCCTCATCACTTACTGCAGGTCCTGGATACCCGAAGCCTCGAAGCTCATGCAGCCACTCTATGACACCCTCAGGAGTGAGCCTTTCCATCTCACTGAAGATGCTATTGCCTGCTTTCACAGTCTGAAAAGAGCCATTGCTTCAGCACCTGCCTTGGGCCTTCCCAACTACCAGTTGCCTTTCAATTTGTTTGTCTCTGAAAAGTCAGGACATGCTTCCGGAGTCCTTAACCAGAAACATGGCTCAAGACAGCGGCCTATTGGCTATTTTTCCTGCATGCTTGACCCTGTTCCTAGGGGTAGTCCCTCCTGCCTCAGAGCGGTGTTTGCTGCCAGTGCCCTCTTGGACAAGACTAATGATTTTGTTCTTGGTCACCACCTCACGGTGTTGGCCCCTCATGACATTACTGCAATCCTGCAACAAGTTCAACCTAAGCACCTTTCTTCTCAACGTCACCTTCGTCTCCAAACATCCTTACTGTTACCTGACAATGTGAAACTTCAGCGATGTCTCTCCCTGAACCCGGCCACTCTTCTGCCACTTCCCAAGGGGGGAATTGTGCAGTATTGGTATAGCTTGGACATCTTGTGCAGTATTGGTATAGCTTGGACATCAGCCCAGAGGCTCGGGCAGATTTGCAGCTGCCTGCCCTTGCACCCCCACATGATGAACAATCAGAGACTTTACTCCACTGCACCTTGTGCTTTAAGATCAGTCCAGGCCCTGATATGAACTATGAAGAAGAACTGTTCCAACTCAAGGAAATTCAAATTACTCTGACTGACTTGTTATGGGATCCCACAGGTACCATGCTCATCTTAGTCCATCTCCCAGAGAATGTGACACATCTTTACCATCATTGGGAGACAGCTGTCCCACACATATCTCTCACTAAATCCCCTGACATCTCATGGAATGACCTAGGCCCGAAGGCCAAGACCTGGAGTCAAACAAACCAAGAACAGCTGACCTCTATGGGGGTCAGCAAAAAGACTATTAACTACTGTACAGCAGGGTACCCTAGGTACCACACAGACGTCTGTGAGGACCCACTCATCATAGACTGTGACCCTGATATTCCCCATGATTGTTTTGAACAAATGAAAATGGAAACTACGCACTTACCAACTGTGTATGAAGCTGCGTTACTTAACCCAGACCAAACACTGTTTGTAGACGGCTCAAGATTCGCTGATGAACAGGGACAATATCACACTGGGTATGCAGTCACCACCGGATGTCAAGTATTACAAGCAGCTGCCCTACAACCAACCAAGTCTGCTCAAGAAGCAGAGTTAACAGCCCTAACTGTGGCCTGTAAATTGTCTGAAGGCCTACGTGTCAACATCTATACAGACTCAAGATATGCTCTGGGAGTAGCACATGACTTTGGTCTAATTTGGTAGCAGTATTAAAAGTAAAAGCCCACGGAAGGCTAGACTCAGAAGAAGCACGGGGCAACCACTTAGCTGATCAGGCTGCTAAGGAAGCAGCACGACAAGGATGGGAAGTGGACAGAAGAGTGGCCACAGACGCAGTGCCCATCTACACCATGCAGACACTGCCTACGGATCTTAGGCTTCTAAAGGAACAACCAGCTACTGCTACTCCCCAGGAGAAACAAAGTTGGAAGAACAAAGGAGCTGTACTCTGTGATGATGTTTACACTATCAATCTCAAGTTTTGCCTACCCAGAAATATGTATCCAGCGGTGGTCCAATGGGCCCATGGGCCAGCCCACCTGTCAAAACATATGATGAACTCATTGATTGACAAGTATTTTGAAGCACCAGGCATCACTACCTTAACACAGAATTACTGTAAATCTTGTACTATATGTGCTAAATGCAATCCTGGAAAGATTATAAAGACCGCACCTAATCACCTAGCCAAGCCACAATACCCCTTTCAGAGCATCCAGATTGACCATATTCAAATGCCAAAGAGTGGATGTTATGAATATGCACTGGTCATAGTGGACATGTTTTCAGGATGGCCAAAGGCCTTCCCAGTGACTAATCTCACCGCGACGACTACGGCCAAGTACCTTTTGACGGAAATTGTTTGCCGATATGGAATTCCAGAAGTGATTGAAAGTGACCAAGGGACCTCCTTCACTGCCTCATTGACACGGGAAGTATGGTCAGCACTGGGGGTGACCCTTGCATTCCACACACCATATCACCCACAGAGTAGTGGTAAGGTAGAGCGCATGAATGGCACTTTGAAAGCCAGAATGCTTAAAATGTCACAGGAAACTAATATGCCCTGGCCCGAGAGTCTCCCACTAGCGTTGTTTAGCGTAAGGTACACTCCTAGGGGAAAATATAGCCTATCACCTTATGAGATTTTGTTTGGTACAGCACCCAGGCTAGGTTGTTATTTTCCCCAACAACTTCAGATCCAGTCAGATGCTATGGTAGACTATGACTGCTATAGACTGCTATGACTGCCCTCTCACATGCCTTGACCAAAATACATGCCCAAGTGTTTTCTTCTATTCCAGATCCTGAGTCGAATACAGGTACACACAAGCTGCTCCCCGGTGATTGGGTTATGGTCAAGAAGTTTCTCAGGAAACACACCCTAGAACCAAGATTTGATGGCCCTTATCAAGTGCTCCTGATTACAGCAACGTCAGTTAAACTAGCCGGGAAGAGTTCTTGGATACACGCCTCACATTGCAAAAAAGTGCCTGCTCCAGAAGAGGCTAATCCAGCTGAAATATGAATTTATTATGTGTCTTGTGTTTTCTTATGCTGCTACACTTTGCCTGGCCCACAAGTGGCCATAACCAAAGATAATCATGTTTACACTTTCTGGTACAATTCTTCTAACACAGATGTAGCTACATACACCTTTGATTACTGTGACATAGTTGTTTGCACCTTTCCACAAACACAATATGCAGCCATATACAAAGACATACCTAGCAAAAAAGACCCATACATCTGTGTGGCAGGGGGTGCATGGGGACATTCCTGTAGTTCTTGGAAAGCAGCCGGGTGGAACACAGGTAGATCATGGGGATATAGACCTCAGAATGCCTTAGACAGAATTGACAAAGATGGGAAATCACTACTCTCTAGAATGACCTTAAGTCAACCCCAATCAAACTTACCCTAAACATAGAACGCCCCAGTCCAGGAGATGCAGAAGAGTATGTAATGGGCAGGTACTGGAAGGGCGGTGACTCATATCACAAGTTGGGGACATTCTACCTGCAAGACATGCTTAACTCATCTAACTGGGTAGGAACTACACATATGACTATTAACCTACTAAAACCTCACATCAAGACTTTACATGACATGGTTAAGCCTTTATGCACAATCCACCACTAACTCTTCAATGTGTGAATCATGGAAGAAGGTCTACCCGATTACCCAGGGACACGTTAGACCACCTGATGGAGTCACGGTATACCCAGGTAATTACACTTGCTACACAATACCTAAAAACACGGGTACATTTGTGGGTAAATTCCCATCTGGTTATTGTTCCACCTACCATAGTCCCCCCACAGCATTGTTAACGAATCATGCAAAACCAGATGGGAATATTTATTGGCTGTGTGGTGATAAGCAACTGAGATCCCAGCTAACAGGGTTGCGATGGGGGGAGTGCACGCTGACCAAGGCCATCATGCCTATCCATATTATCCCGGATGGCCATCATAATACATTTGATCTCACACACACTCCAGAGTCAAAAGGGAAGCCCCAATCCGTGGTAGCTTTGATCCACATGTTTATATTGATGCTATTGGTGTGCCAAAGGGGGTACCCAACGAATTTAAAGCTAGGGATGAGGTTGCCGCTGGCTTTGAATCCCTGATTCCATTAATCGCTGTCAATAAGAATGTTAATTAGATTAATTATATCTATTACAACCAACAGTGGTTTGTTAACTATACTAGAGATGCCCTACAGGGCCTAGCAGAACAACTGCAAGCTACCACCCAAATGACATTTCAAAATAGAATGGCTCTGAATATGATTCTAGCAGTAAAGGGGGGCGTATGTAAAATCCTCCCCGAGACTATGATCTGCTGCACGTTTATTCCAGATAATACTGGACCCAATGGAAAGGTAACTTTGGCCATAGAAAAACTGGACAGCCTTTCAGATGAACTAAAACGCAACTCAGGGGTCACTAACGTGTGGGATAGGTGGTTTGCATGGATGAATGGTTGGCAGAGAACCCTATTCCAGGTTGGGACAGCAGTCCTTATAGTGTTTATCATTTTTCTAATCCTAACTTGTTGTGTACTACCTTGCATACAAAAGTATTTGCAGAAGACAGTAGGGAAGACTATAGACAACGTAACCCCTACTTTACTACACTAAGACGTCACTGACCTAGAATGTGACACACCACATACACCCCTCCAATCCCACCAAGTCAGACAGACAACTGCATTTTCATAGGGATAGCATAGGGAAAGTGTCTGTTTCTACAGGCGAGTCTCACGTGCGAGATGTGGTGGACTAGCCGCTGCGGTTTACCCACGGAGTGAAGTGTTCGATGCTTGTTAAGACAGATGAGCTGCAGGCAGCTAGGGACATATTAGGGACAGTAGCAGTTGTCATGGTAAATAGTCATTTTAAGGGGGGACTGTTGTGGAAATGAAATATTGACATATTTTTAGCTAGTAAAATGTCTATTTACTCCATTTAGTTATACTCAATATTATTCAATAAATTACTAAACTGACCACTAGATGTCACTCAGGAGTACCCCACCCATCGACCAAACACTCTAATTTTCAAGATGGCGCTGGAATCCGTGGGGAGAACTCCATGACGACAGTAATAACATAAGAAGGCACACCCTGTAGGACGTGCTTTGAATAAAACACTTAACACTTAACCAATTATTGATGTATTATTCCATGTTATCTCTGACAATGCTTATGATGTAATTTTGCTTTAAAAGGGAGCTGCCGTCCCCTCTGAATAAACATTCCTCAAGTTATTCAACAACCTGGAACCTGTGTCTGGTGTGAATTACTTCAGGGAGCGTGCACGCACTGTTTCATTGATTTGGCCAGGGGCAGATACACAAAGAAATAATCAATACCTTGATTGATTTTTCCATTACACATATATTTGTAATAATTATTTGAGCACTTCCTTTAATGTAGATTTAAGAAGCCCTGTGCTCACACATATGCACAGACACATATGCATAGCACACACTGGACTAAATACAAGTAACTGCTCCTCCATTTTACTTTCATCAATCACCTTTGTTTTGCTACCTATTGATTTAGCCCACACAATTGGGTAGACCTCTTTTTTATAATGTCAAACCATGCTGCTTATTTGCCTGCACCAGAAAAAAAATAAACAGCCTCTTCTGCCTTCTCTATTCTCTATCCCCTTTTCCTCTCGTGAGGAAACAGCACTCCGACCCAAAAACTCTACTGAGTATGTTCGGCATAGAGATTCTGGCATGCGGCAACTTGAAATTCGAAATTTCAGCTGGTTATCTGACTGGACCAAATTCTTCCAAATTGCAGTTTTGCCCAAAACTAATCTTCAAGTCTAAACCATATGGGGATTTCAAAATGTTAATTAAGTAGTATTTAAATTATATCGTAATTATGCTTTTGTAAACCACTTTGCAACTATTAATCCAGTTTAATCCAATGTTATATCTTTTAAGCAATACCAATGAATGTCATATCAATATTTTTTTTTTTTTTACGTAATACACATAGAAAAATACTCCAAGAAAAAGTGCGTGAATACAATCAAATTATGTTGAGCACAAAAATAATTAGAGCTCACACTGGAGCATATACGTTTTTGTTGGGAAAATTATTCACAATTGTTTTTGCTTCCTCTGGAGCCACATAAATGTAAATACTGAGCAGATAAATACATTTAACTTGACATGTAAGTTGATTTTCAATATCCCCTTTATGGAGCTAGAATACTTTATTGCTGGCATCTTAATGCCTACCAAGAGAAAAAGCATGAGTTGAAATATTTGCAAGTTAGTTGAATGCCATAGCTTTAAATAGAATCAAATATCTAGCACATTTCTAGTTAAAGGAATAACCTAAGGTTAAAAATAAATATATTTTATATATCCTTTTTTTTCTCAATAGACAGCTTCCCACCCCTACCCATAAAAAAAATTTCTGTTTTGCACAGCAGTAACCCAGCTCCATGACTAACTCTGTCAGGCTGCTGCTCTTCCTGTTCTGAGATCATTACAAGTGATGATCTCGGCTTTATCCAATAAGTCAAGCATTCAGGACAGTTGGTAATCACTGCTCCCTGCCAACCAGATTCTTCTCATACAAATTGCAGTCACAGTAGTCTGCATCATCATGCAGTGAGTACAGTAGTTTGCATCATTTTGCAGCGAGTAATGTCAATAATTAAGATAATGAAAATTCCTCTGGTGCCTGTCTCCCAGACAGCCACTAGAGGTGTGGCTTAGTTAAAGTATAATCTGAAGGGGCAATGTTTTACAGCGCCAGGCAAAAGGGACAGTTTTGAGCACCAAAGCTACTTAAAGGATTACTCCAAACATTGCTCAGTGATTTGACGTGGTCATGGCGCCTTGAGTCTGTATGTGATGAGTTTCTCTATGAAATAAAGCACATACAGAGTTGAACCCTTCAACTACCTGAGGTGTAATTTCATCTTTGGCAGCATCACTGGGGGCCATTAGCCAGTCTACATTCAGAGTTCCAGGCTGACTAATGTCAGTTCTGTGCATATTCCTATGTATGGAATTGTAATAATTAGATGAGAGTGATCAGCTGACACAATCAGCTAATACATAGCTGGCAGGATCAGAAATTAGCTTTGCAGAAGCCAAATGCACATTACAGTCAGCCTTAAAAGAGAGCTTAGTGCCCAGCAGGACCAGGTAAGATGGCAAACCATTGCGAAACAGATGTGCTCATTTTGTCCACAATGTTTGTCTGTGAGAAGCTTGTAATTGGACATTGCCCAGCATGGACACTGAAGTTGGTGATGGGCAAAATAGGGGGTGAATCAGCTTACCTGCTCAACTTGCAGATGAGGTAGAATTTTAGGGAATTAGTAAACTAATTTTGAAATACTAATAAATGAATATATTTTCTGACTTCCTTTTTGGAATGCATTAAAAAAAATAAATGTGATTTTTAACAATTTTTGTTTACATTTTTCATGTTGGTAACATTAAGCCTCACTTTACATAACTCTGCACCACTGAAGTCATCACTTGACTTTGTCATTAAAGAAGATAGAATGGGAAACATTTCTTCAAATTAAACTTGCACCGTCCATACGCTCTTGTGTCTTGTTTGTTTAACTTCATGTTAGATTGGGACAAGCCTAGATTAGTTTCACTTCTGCCCTTTTTAGATTTTTTTCCTCATTATATCTTCTCAGCATCATTCACTTAAGCAGGATTTATTTTACATTAAATTGCTTGTCACTTCAGTTTAATTGCCTTAGCAATAAATTAAACTCATCTATTTTGTTTTGCATCACTTATAATACAAAGTAATAGGCCAATTTTGTTTTTCAGTTGAAGTGATAAATGCTTGAATTAATTCAGATGAGTCTTCTTTAAAATAAACAGCGCTGCTTGCTGCCAGAAGTAGCTGATTTATTATCTTTGGAACGGTGAAAATGTAATTCACTGATATTCTATAAGCTCATCGTGGTATCAGGAATGAACACATTGAGAATGGAATTACCCTAATCAGTGCAACTTTCCTTTTACCAGAACATGTCAAAATAATTAAATTTATGCTATAGCATGATCATCATTTTAAGTGTATATATATATATATATATACAAAATACAGAATCCAGCGCACTCGCTTATTCACTAAACAATGATTTCAAAGCTTACAGATTGTAATAGTTTTATTTAAAAACACCTCACCTAGGCAAAAAATAATGGGGGTTTAGTTACATTATATGATCAAATATTGCATTAGCCTGCCACACTGTCAATGTACCATATTGTTGGCAGGTCCCATCCTAGCAGCCTAATGCTTGCTCTTACTTGGGAAATACATCCTTCCTGGGACTCTCTGCAAGTCAAGGCTAAATAGAGTCCTGGAATGAGGCACCTGTGACAGGGAGGGGTGCAAAACCAAGGAGTTGGCCAGGACTCCCAAATATA